TTGGAAGAAGTGCAGCCAGAGTGCTCCTTGGAGGCCAGGATGGCCAAACTTCATCTCTCATACTTTGGACATATTGTCAGGAGGGACCAGTGACTGAAGAAGGATATCATGTTTGGTAATGTGGAGGGTCAGAGAAGGAGAGGAAGACCCTGAGCGAGATGGATTGGTAAAGTGACAGCATCAGTAGGCTCAAGTGTGGCAACAATAGTGAGGTTGGCCCAGGATCGGGCAGTGTTTCATTCAGCTGTGCTTAAGGTCGCTCGTCATGAGTCAGTACTGACTCAATGGCACCTAACAACAACAAGTAAATGATGACCAAACTTTCAGGGTAGATGCTACTTCTGGCAAAGTGACAGGTGGATGGGAAGGAAACATGTAATGGTATTGCTTATATTCTAGTTCTGATATTTGGTATCAGGGTCATGGAATCCACATTTTATGCTTCTTAGTCTCCATCGTAATTTCTTCATCTTGACACTATTGACATTCTGGGTTGGGAAAATTCTTTGTTGTGTTGTGCTGTCCTTTACATTGTGGCCTGTACAGCAGTATACCTGGCCTTTACCTACCAGATGCCAACTGGTGAAAGAAAAAACATTTTTTAAGGCTCTAAACATTGCCTTAAATGTCATTGATGGACTCAGGTGTGGCAGCGGTGGTGAGGTTGGCCCAGGATCGGACATTGTTTCGTTCTGCTGTGCATGGGGTCACTATGAGTCGGTTCCAACTCGATGGCACCTGACAACAACAACAAACATTGTCAAATGTCCCTTGGGGAGCAAAACTAGCCATGGTTGAGAACCACAGACCTGTGTGTATGTGTGTGTATATACATATATACATATATATGTATATACACACACACACATACGTGTGGTTGGGGGGGGGTGTTTAAATGTTTACATAATAGAAGTAAATTTTTAAATGATGGGTAGAAGTTTCACCTGTCTTGAAGCACAAGTAGGAAATGGTCATCAATAGCTGAGAAATCCTGGGAAAGGCCTTTGCAGTGCAGAGTTGTGTGAGCTGACAGCTTCGGGAGGGTTTTGACTAACAGGTGATATTTCTAGAAATGATACTGGACATCAGGAAATCAAGGACTCCTTATATACACTAGAGGAAATGGAAATTTTTTGCAGCTTTTACTTAACATACGTCCAGTTTGGACAGTCTTTGGGAAATCCTTTTAGAACGCTGATGCATAATTTAAAAAAACCTACTCATATAAATTTCTCTTTTAAAAACAGGGTCTTTTGTTTATATAATCCCTTTCTTATAAAGAACTATCAGAGACTCATGTGTTTTACTACATTTAATCCTTAGAGCATCCAATTGAGAGTGTGGCTACGAATCCAAAGTTATCACACACCTAACGTGACCCTTGAATGAACGGCTAACTCCAGGAATCAGATCCAGATAATGTTCACACCACTGCCGTAAGATGATGAGTGTCTGAGACCCCACCCAGTGCTGTGCATACCAAATCTGAAAGGCTATAGCACCTGGTGCTTATCCTGTACTTCAGGCCCATTTAACGCCTCACAGGGAGAGTTTACTACCCTCATTTTTAAAATGAAGAAACATAAAGACATGAAAAAGAATATGTGAGTTTTTCAAAATAGACTTAGAAGGAAATTCAGGTTTCCCGAGTCTTGGACTTGGCTGTGAAGTGTGTTTGGGTATGTGTGAGGAAGTGTGTGTGCTTCTCTGAGGACAAGGTATCAGGTAGAAGACAAGACCTAGGATGAAGAGAAGCTAGAAGATGGGGCATGGGAGAAAGCTGCAGATTCAGATGACGCTTTGGCCAAGTCCTCCCTGGTTTTCAGAATCTTTAACTGTAAAAACACATAGGCTGATTGTGAACACCAAGTGAAAGATTTGACAGTACTTGAAGTTTCTGAGTACAAATATTAGTGGCTGTCATTATTCGAGCTATTGTTGTTGCTGTTAAATGCCACGGAGTGAGTTCTCATTCATAGAGATCCTATATACAGTTTCTGAGGAGTAGCTGGTGGTTCTGAACTACCAACCTTGTGATTAACAGTCCAGTGCTTATCCTATAGTATCCCACCAGGACTCCAGAACTATTATTAGTCATATGACAAAAACAACCACCAGCGTCTCCTCAGAAACCCTATACAGAGTCACTATGAGTTGGAACCAATACAAAAATCAGCAGTGAACAACAGCAACAATGGATGGGATGACACACATCTTCATTTTCTTGTTACTACCTGGACTTCTGATATGGCACTATAAGATAAACACTGGTCTATAAACCACTAAGTTGGCAATTCAAATCCATCAGCTGCTCCTGGAAAACCCTTTACAGGATCAATGTGAGTCAGAATGGACTCTACAGCACATAACAACAACAAAACAGTAATTATTATGAAGACCTGGTATGGCGCTGAAAGGATAAGCACTGGACTAGCTAACTGCAAGGTCACAAGTTCAAACCCACCAACCCCGCTCGCTCTTCAGAAAACCTATACAGAGTCGCTATGAGTTGGAACCAACTCAACGGCACTTAACAACAACAACACTACTTACCATATGTCCAGCTCAGATGAATATTCAGTGGCTCCCAGCAAGGCATCTGGCGGGCGGTACCAGAGGGTTACAACTTCTGAAGAATACGTCTGGCTGGGAATGGACTTGGCCCGAGCAAGACCTGTCCAAATGTGAAAAGCACAGAACCCTTTGTCCTGGGGCATCCTGCAGAGATGCAGTGGTGCATTCTATCAGGGAGAATATAACTGGTCAACAACATTTTAGAATAATGTACAAACTAAAGGTGCTACTTTGCCTCTTATAAACCATTCCATCAAGGGACTTTAGCAATTATTGGTGTGCTGTGCCAACAATTTGTCAATGTAGCCTTCCTGGAAGTTGGGTGTAGTCAGGTGACTAAGTTCTTGCCTGTATGGTATGAGTAGAAGTAATATGTGAGTTTCCAGAGCATGTCTTTAATGAAGGAGTCAAGTATTTCACTTTCCTTTTCTCTTTCCTCTGGACTGGAATGAGAAGAAAGCAGCTTGAACTAGGCATTGGGGCAATACCCTAGGGACGGAGGGGCCTGATGACAAACCAACCTGTGCCAAGACCCAACAGGGCTACCATACAAACTCTGAATGGCTTAGGTCATACTGTTACATGTGAGGAAGTTATGCTTCCAAATTGTGAGGTGGGCCCAGGACTGGGCAGTGTTTCATTCTGTTGTGCATAGGGTCACTATGAATTGGTACCAACTCGATGGTACCTAACAACAACCACCACCTTGGGTCTCTATTACAGCGACTGGACTCTGCTATAATACGGCTGCCTTTCATTTCTACAGCCCAGGAACACATAGTTCAGAGGACAAACAGTGAGAACTACTCAGCTAAATTAGTTAGTACGAGTCTCTTTCAAGGGCCCCTCTGCAAAATGAGCTTATTTCTGTCCACCACTTGTCTCCATGAATCACATGATCTATAAAAGACCTCAAAAGATGAGTTTTCCATTGTGGGGAATTGAGAAATGAATGTCTGTTAAATGCTTATATGTCAGGATAAAAGACAGACATTAGGGACTCAATGATAAGCAAAAACAGAACCAGAAGCTGTCCTCAAAATACTTACAGTCTAGTGAAAAAAAACCCAGAACACTGCTACTGAGTCGATTCTGGTTCATAGAAACCTGACAGGACAGAGTAGAAATGCTCTTTAGGGCTTCAGAGACTGTGAATTCTTGACAGGAGCAGACTGCCCCATTTTCCTCCTGTGGAGTGGCTGGCGGATTTGAACTACCAACCATGCAATTAACAGTCTAATATGGGAGAAAGATAAAGCTTTCTGTTCCTGTAAAGAGTTACAGCCTCGGAAACCCTATACAGGGTCACAATGAGTCAGAACCTACTCCATGGAACATAACCACCACTCAGATTTAGTAAAAGGAATCCTGGTGTGTTCTGTAGGATAAGCACTGGACCATAAGGTATGATTGAACCACAAGGTCAGTAGTTCAAATTCAACAGCTGCTCCTTGGAAACCCTATACAGGGTCGCTATGAGTCAGAACTGACTTGACAGTGCTTAACAAGAACAACAACTCAACACAAGGCACTCTACAGATATCACAGCATCAAAAATGGCAGCAAGGTTTAAGGATGCCCAAGTTTGGAGCATCTAATTGGATGGAGACTTAATGGACTCCTAAGAAGCTACCAATCTTCCCTGTCTCTTTACTCACACTATCCATATGATAGCATGATATCCCCACAAAGCATCATGTTTCCTAGGCCTCCAGCTTTCAAAGGCCAGGCCAAGTCAATGCTTTACACATGTGCACACAAAAGCATCACTGTTCACAGCCCAGAAGGAGACTCAAGGGGCGACTTACCAAAATCAGCCAGTTTGAGCTCTCCCAGGTGACTGATGAGTATGTTCTGAGGTTTCAGGTCCCTGTGAAGAACGTGTTGGTGGTGGATATACGCCAGACCCCGCAAAAGTTGAAACATGAAAAGCTGGAAGGAATGAACACCATAGTAAAAAGATTTGAGCCACTATATGTTGATTTCCCCTCTAAATCAAAAGCAGTCATGTGAAAGAATATAGTCAAAGTGTCTCCTGAGAAACTAAAAATAAACGAAGATTTTTACATTCAGAGAGAGGGGGTGGAAAGCACAAGGAAAGTCAAGCAAGTAGACCATCTTCTAAACAAAGCAATTCTGGTTTCTCCTAACATCTCATTTCTTTGATAATGAAGGAATTACCCTTCCTTAAAAATCTAAAGTCAGACTTTGAAGTTTCATTTGGAACACTAGTTATTGATTTAAATGTGAAAGATTAAAAGGAAAAAAAATGTTTCCCCACGAATGAACTTGGCATTTAAGATCAAAGTTGACCTGGAAATTATATTATAAGGTTTGCAACTATTTATGTTTTCTAGGCTTTCTGGTAGGAAACCTTTTAAAAACACAATACAAGGAGACCAGACTGGGAAATATACCCTTAGATAGATACTATTAGGAAATAAAGAAATTTTTAAACCTATTTTTAAAGTTTTTAGTTCAAAGTTGAAAACAAGAAAAATATACAGTAAAGCTTAAGAAAGAAAAGAGACCAAAAGAAATTATACTGCTCTCCACCCACCCCCAGAAAAATCAAAAGATAAAAAGGAATAAGCAGTAGGGAAAAGAAAGGAGAAAGAGAAAAAAGAAAACAAACAAATAAACAGGAAAAACACATCCTGAGATCAAACTTTTTAAAAGTTTCAGAAACCAAAGACATTATTAGGTTCTCACCAATACAGAAGCTTAAGGAATCAAAAGAATGCTTAGTATTCCAAGTGTCTTTTGCTATTTTCCAGGGCCACTGGCAACTGAGAATTCAAACACCAGCATTAGTGTTCACAAAGCCCTATGCCAACTGAAAGCATGTTCTGGCAATTTGAAAAAGAGCTGGCTTTAACATTCCCAGGGACATAGCAAAATGGCAGCTGCAGAGTTGCTTGGCTAAATTGCTTTTTTCCATTGTATCTTGGAAACTAGGAACTTCAGAGATGCCAGAACCTGTACTGGGTTAACAACAGTATGAAGACAATGGAGCCAAGTTAATGAGCAACATGGTCTGTCATTGAAATGGGAGTTTAAGGATTTTACCTGCCACCACACACCTTTGGCTGTGTATGCTCCACGCAGCTCTCACATCAGGTTTGTGAGCCACTTTAGAATGTTAAGAATTTCTTGTGTTTATTGACTCTACAAGTCTCCCCAATACTTTCTCTCCCCTGTGCGTTAAGCGCACTCACTCACCAAGCCTAGTGGCTACCAGAACAGAAAATGCATACCGACATTTAAACTTTCAACATGTCTATAAACATAAATATGCATGGAAAAGAGATGAAAAAATCAACTTAAACTCCAGATAAAAGATAAAATACCATAGTAGGTACTTTAAAATATGTTTTTCAATGCAAAGAGGGCAAGAACTGGAAACAGGTGAGAAACAAAAGGTAAAAGATGGAGATGGGTAAAGGATAAATATGAAAGAAGAAAGGGAGAAATAACATTATTAAATGACTTGTTTTTAATATTATTAAATGACTACTGTAGAGATGCTAAAGCAAATGGAAGAAATAAGGAGGTACAAAAGCTGAACAGAAAATTTCAAAGGTCAGCTGGAGAAGATAAAAGTCAAATATTACAACAAAATGTGTAAAGATCTGGAGTCAGAAAACCAAAAGGAAAGACCACGTTCATCATTTCTCAAGCTGGCGGAACTGAAGAAAAAAATTCAAGCCTTGACTTTCGTTATTGAAGGATTCTCTGGGCAAATTTTGAAGGTGCAGAAAGCATCAAAAGAAGATGGAAGGGACGGAAGAACAAGGTTGATGGGAGAACAGTTAGGAAGGTTCACATGGGCTAAGTGGGACAGAGGTAAATGATGATGCATGCACAACCTTGGAACAACAGTCTTCAAGATACAGGAATTGAGGCATGGTTTGAAAGGCTAAAAGAGGGGAATAATGTTAAGATGCTTGGCTGTCTTTTGAATCTTGGTTTCCCTTGCCTACCATTGTGAAATAGACACTTGGGGGTGGGGGAGGAATAGCCAAAAACATCACAATAGAAAGCTTGTAAGTCCGTCTTCAGTCTATAACTGATTGGAATACCTTAAAGGGGCCTAGAAGTTGCCCAGTGAAAGAGACCTCCTGTGGAGCTTTTGCATTGCATAAGACCATAGGTGGAAACCAGAATCCCATCCAGAATTGTCTGAGGTGGGAAATTTCCCCTGGAAAGGATGAGCAGACCAACCTGGAGCAGCTAGAAGAACAGAAGATACTTCGTGAAGAAAGACCAGCAGGAAAAATCAGAAACAATAATGGTAGTATTACTAAAAGAACAAGTAAGCTGTTTGCCCAGGAACCATCAAGGCAAATGGTTGGGTCCCCTCAGAGCAAACTCCCTTCCAAGACTAAGACTCAAGGGGAATACACGAGCAGGCATGTGGTCTGGTTGGAGACAATGTTGGTCATCGATAAGGGGAAGAGGGGAAAAAAATAGCAATGAAGTTGGGATCTAAGTCCAACTACATTCAATAGACTCCTGTGAACCCAGGCAGAAACCTGGATGGCCAGCAGTTACGGCATAACCCAGGGACTCCTGGGCCCAGGGGCAGTGATGTGGCCACGGAGGACTGGAGCAGAGAGTGAAGCATCCAGCTGATATGAAATGAGGGGAGATGCACAAGAACACCCATATTTACAGATAGTACCCACTTGACCTGGATTCGATGGCTGGATGATCAGAACTTGACTAAAAGAAGAAAGAAGAGGGAAGGAAAAAAAAAGAGTAACCCACTACAATTTGATAAACTTTACCTATATGTATAGATGTAGTAGCTCAAAAAAGGGAACAAATCTTTACAGCAAGTATCACTCCCACCCTCTTGGTACACAGGGTTGACAGGAATGGGCAACTTAGACATTGACTACCCAAAATGGGGGTGGGGGGTGGCTATAAAGGCAAGAAGTGACTGGTTTACAAGCTTTCAAGAGGGAACCTAGTCCCAGACTGGGCAGGGGTAGGTAGAGCCTCCACTGAATGACTTCCAATCTGTTGGGACAGGGCTGGTGAAAGGAAATGAGGATAATCTTGTGGTACAATAGTGAATAATTGCCATCAGGACTGACTGAGGTTCAGAAATGTAGAGGTAGATGTTTTTTGACAAATGTAGGGGATTGATTGATTTTGCAGCCCAGGAGCAGAGGTCCATGGGACCATCAAGTGAGAAGAGCAGAGAGCAGGACCCTACCCAGAGAGGCAATGATGTCAGGGATGAAGACAGAGAGGATGATGTGGACAGATGGAGCGTCTGGGGACACTAGACTCAGAGAGGGAGAGAGACTGTGTGCTGACGGCTGGGAGGTTGGGGGTGGACCTGTGGGGTATATCCTTTGGTTATTTGATGAAGCATGGAGGGGATTGTGATCATTGCAATGAAAGGAAATACAAGAGGATGAATGTAAAACTGATGTTTTCCCATGTAAACCCACATAATTCACAATAAAACTTTAAAAATATATAGAAGGAATACACAGAGTTACTGTACCAAAAGGAACAGTTAAACATCAACCATTTCAAGAGGTAGCATATAATCAAGAGCCAATGATACTGAAGGAAGAAGTATAAGGTGCATTGAAGGAATTGGTGAAGAACAAGACACCAGGAATTAATGGAATAAAAATTGAAATCTTTCAAGAAAGTGAGGCAGCACTGGAGGCACTCACT